CCCCCCCGTAAATGCACGGTGAAACTGAATTATCCAACGACGATGGAAAACGCCTGGGAAAACGCCATAAAAACCACCACCAACAACAACAGCATTCTGTAACATTTTTTTGTTATCCCATTAATATCCTTTAGCATTTCACTGCATGAGCAATGTTTCAGTGCATGTATATTTGGTTATTTGAATTACTTACCACTATGTAATATGACCAAAGACAAAGATAAAAGACCAATGAAAAACTTCTTCATGTTCAAGAATTAGCTCAACGCAAGGTGGTGGCGGTGGTGGTGGTGGTAGAACAGTCCTGATTGGGACTACTTGCGTATATACGATGGAGCAGGCCCTTTGAGTGGACGAGTGTTGCTCATCAATCAGTGATGAAGATGAGAATGCTGAAGGTAATAATGCCAGCCAGGGAGTTCCTGTTAGCACTGTGGGGGAGCTAAGTGATGTGGGTTATGATATGCATAGGCGCCGCGAGAGCCTGTGGTGGTGGTGGTGGTGGTGGTGGTGGTGATGTGTGTGTGTGTGTGTGTATGCGTGTGTGTGCGCGTGTGTGGTGTGTGTGCGTGCGTGCGTGTGTCGGGGAGGGAAGATTTATCCATCTTTTTTCTTCTTCCGAAGAAAAGCATTAAAGTATACATTTTCATTATCAGTTTTTAAATTTAAAGAATTTTTCATAGCTGGAAGGAGAAGCCCCTCAAATCGACACAGATGTATATCGTATACTTAGAGGCATTTTTCTCAAAGGTAATCCTTTTCAACATCTGCCCTCCATAATATTTCTTTTAAATAAATGTCGAATACGTTTGTAAAGTTACATTTTATTTTGTATGTATATAAAACATAAGAAGCTAAATTAATTAATAGATTTGTTTTAAAGTACGTAATTTGAAATTATATAATCACATTGCTTGCCTAAAATCATATCACTGTAATTGTTCATTATCAAACAATATTTTTTGAGAAAGATTCAGACCTTGTTCCAAATATTTTTGAGTAATCATAATCATTAAAAAAATGATAATAATTTTCTGTGCACTTGCCCTGCAAACAATAATCATGATCAGATTTTATGAAACGATATAGATATTCTTCACATGCTAATAAGTTAAAGAGTAATTTGAACTTAAACTGTTTTAATCGTATTCCTTGACGTACCGGGTATATGTCATATTCATGTCCCATATATTCGCCCAGGATAACCTTTTTCAACAAAATGCCTTATTTATTGATTATATTTTTAAGAGTGAGAACATCGTAACAGGCCCGAGTAGCCTGTCCCCAAATATTCGCCCCGTTTTACCCATAAGATTTTACTCCTCACAGTCATGGAGAAGAACCAAGTTTTGTCAGTAGGAAGTGGTATGGCTTTACATGACACACAAGAAAGAGCTTAAAATTTTTCATCGGGAAGGGGGTGGAGCAATTTCCTGAAAAAACAAAACCCAGAACAATTAAGTACTAAAGAGCATTTTGACCAATCTTTTCTGCTCTAAAGGTTTCCTAATACTTGGAATATACAGTTAACAACTAAATTGCTCCTATATTAAAAAAACATAGGTTATTAAAAAATTATGTTATACATAAGCAACAGATTGGTATCTTTATTTTTTCTTACTGTAAAAATATACTTCCAAAGTTTCTAGATGATTGTTTTATTTGTAATAGAAATGTGACTAATTATGAAACTCGTCAATCAAATCTTTTCCATCTGCCAATGTTTACTTATGATTTCTCAAGGACAACAATTATTTATGCCGGACCAAAATTATGGAACAAATTGCCCAATGAACTTCAAATATGCCCAACAGTATCGTTTTTCAAAAGAAAGCTCAAGAAATATCTCGTAAATTAATGTGTATAACTCGGATAATTTTTTACATAAATGCCTTTCCTTTTCTTTTGTTGTTGTAATGGATTTGTCTGGTTTAATTCTGTATATTGATGCTTTGTGTTATTTTAATCTCTGTACTTCTATCTCGTTTTTAGCACATTTAAGAAACTTTTTATGTAAATTGTATTATCTCTGGGAATAACCTTGATAGGCCATTGCCCCCCCCCCCACCACATGATTTAAATTGAAGATATTTCATTTTAACGTTTGTCAATGTATATATATGCATACAAATTGTACTTGTGTTTTTTAAAATCAAATGTGGAAATAAAAATTGAACTTGAACTTGATTATTCATACTCCTTGTAAACTTGATGTTTTTGGTGTTTGTTTTAAAAACTGAAGATTAAAAGGTGGATTTGTTTAATGAGGGCCTTTATTTTACTTCAAGCTACTACATTCTTGAAATAATACCTCTGGCTTCTTGTTCTGAATTTGGAGGGTAACATATGTTTTTTTTAATGTACATCCAGAGCACCGGGAAGGGGGGGGGGAGGGGTGAGGCAAAGTGTCATTAGACCAAATATAGACCATATAGGATTATTTCTCCACAACTATCTGCCTAAAAAAAGAAAAGAAAAAGGAAGAAGATCTTTTCCATCATTTCTTGACAGGTAGGCCTACCAAGAAATGTTTAAAGGTAGACCTACCTTTTTAGAGCAAAGAGAGAGAGAGAGAGAGAGAGAGAGAGAGCTAAGAGCAATGAGGTGATGAATAATACAATTACCGAGTGTAGTTGTAGGGGTAGGGCCTACTGTTTAGGAGGTGGTGGTAGGAAGGGGGGGGGGGGGGGGGGAGGGGAGGGTGGTAGGAAGGGGTGGTGGTAGGAGGGGGAGGGGGAGGGGGTAGTTGTCCAGGAGGTCTTTCTTAATTTATGGAGATACTTAACAATTTTCTTCTGGAGTTATTTTACATGTCCCAGGGGAATATCATAATACACATACTACATGATAGCTAGGTCACAATACTTGCTAATAGAAAGTCTTGTATAAACACAAATGAAAGTAAAATCAATCACACTCTTTCTTTGAGAAATTGTTTATTCTTTTAAACAGATTAAAATGTCAACATGACAATAAACGAGAAAAGCAAAAGAAACAAACACTAACATTTCATGCATCAAGTGCAATATACCTGTAACATCCATCTTGGATGGAGACACGTATTTCCAACATCCTGACACAATCTACAGAATACTTTGAAAACTTCATAATAAGAACCTTTGATAAGCAATGCATGTATTCTACTAACATTCAAACCTGATGCATCGATGCTGGGCCTAAGCTTTAAAAAAAAAAATCATGTTTGACAAATGAAATTAGTCTGCAGTCCAAGTTTTCCTTTGTTAAACATAATCTTAGACCATGGACCTATGCTTTGACCCAGAGTCGGGTTTAACTAAATAAGTAGAATACGAACCCAAGAGTTTAGAGACAGCTAGGTAACGCTAACGAAAACCTCATGCAAGCTTGAAAGCTATGTTCTTAAGGTACCCATGGTAATTTAGCACACCAAAGTCTTTTACTACTTCTGTTGATCTAACATCTCGCAATGATGGACCCCTGGAGATGGCTAAAGGTCCAATCTGGAAAAGGAACAATGTTACTTCGGGATTATTTCCCAAATAGCGGGCTATTTGGCAATCTCGAGATGATGAAGACGCGCTTTATGTGCTCTACCACTTCACCTCAAAAGACATATACCCCTGTACTGGTGATTTACTTTTACTGCCAAGCTGTAGTTTAAGATGACAGAAAATAAGTGTAATAGTTATTTCTTCATCTCCCTTCCTTTGCAACTAGTCATCATGGAAAATAATTTTGTGAAACCTGAGAGAGAGAGAGAGAGAGCAGGGAGGGGAAGAAAGAGTACAAGAAAGAGAGAGAGAGAGAGAGAGAGAGAGAGAGAGTGTGTGTGAAAGAGAGATAGAGAAATAAGAGAGAGTGTGTGTGTTTAAAGGACAGTAATAAAAAGTAAAAGGATTTGTTTCGAAATGCATCTCATAAATGAGAATGTAAACACTATTCTGCATCAAACCCTACATCAATATTGCACTTTGAAACTTCAAAAATTGATTTAAAATAGTGAATTATTTATCTTTCTTTCACTTAAAACTTGAAAGCTAAAACTCAAGAACCATTTCTCTTCATAAAGAAATAAACTTACACCGTATTATTCCAGTTCAATGTCATGGGGCTCAAATAATTCTGATAATACTTGACATGTACCTCTACAACACATAGGATACAGGACTTTTTAAAAAGCAATATTCTTCTAATTGCAGTCATTTCTGTGATTTCACCAACAATACAAAACAAAAATTGATATACGCCTTGATATGAAATTTAGACTGAAAGGAATGCTGGTGAGCTTTGCCTTCAGCAGAAGTAATTCAAAAACAAAAATTAACTACTAGTTAACACTAACTTCACAATTGAAGGGGAAAAAAATCAATATGAGAAGGATACATGTGCTTCAACTATCATTATACAGTTTAAATAAGAATGATAATATATGGTTTTGTTCATTAATCTTGCCACAGAAACATCCATTACCGGGAGAATTATTCATCAGACATTCAATTAAGAAGTGTTTATTCAAAAATTTGATGCGTTACCTTTTAGGATTGGTATGCTATGAAAAGAGGCCATCACAAACCTCATGAAAATTAATTTTCTAAATAAGGAGCATTTGGAAAAGTGAGTAGCAACCATACAAATATTCAACAATCTTATTCAGCTGCAGACTTCCTAAATACAAACATACTCATAAATACTCAAGAGTCGTCAAGACTACCAATACATCCAATTTAATAAATTTCTATCACAGGGGAAAGACATTTGATATAAAAATGGACGGAATGATTCAACGTCTTCCTATTACAGTCCTCACACTGGATGTATGTGGGAACATGTTGTACTGTGTTCAACATATAATAGACAAAATTATCTTATAGATCTCCTTATGAAATATTTGGCACCTTTTCTTCAATGTTTTGTCTCCTATAAAAGCCCCACTGCACTGCGTACAGTTACTTGCGCCCTCTTTATAGCAAACAATGCCTAAATGGTGACCATCAGTCCCCCATGATCCCCTTTTTCTTATGTTAATTGAAAGCTGATTTGATGATATAACCACCTGTCAGTGACCATACAGGGAGGTATATTCCCTCCTGGCCAAACTAGTGCAGTGGGGCTTTAAGGAAAACCAGACATTTCTTCATAAGTACTCCACAGAAACAGCCTTGTGTAATAAAGACACTTGGTTCTTAGAAGGCACAGTAATCTTCATGGATGGAGTGAGCGCTCCCTCTATTGACTGAGATGAAACAGTCTTCTCATTTGCTCTTCTCTATGAAGTAGGATGCTGTGGTGAGAAGAAAAATAAAAATAAAAATCAAATTCTGTATTTTTCCCGAAGTAATTTCATTCCAAAGTTATTATAAACTCAAATACACAGTTGATACAATTTTGCTTCAATAAAACCACAATTGAAATCAATGAATAAAAAAAACCACTGATTCTCACAAAGCATGATTTAAATATGTATCAAGTTTATTTCCCTTCACTAACCCTAGAAGTACAAATTAATTTATTGTGTTTCTACCATCCTTTTGCATGGACTGGCCTAGTGGTACATGTATGTTAACACTGGATACACCCATTGTAGGTAGGGTCAGGCAAAGAACACCATGTCTTGCACATGAAGAAGAAATTCATTAAAAGGAAGCAACAGAAATTCTATATCCCTTTTTTTCTGCATTTTGTTTTGGCATGAGCGTTACTTTATTTTGGGGTACACTACATCATTGCTTATTCAAGTGGTATTGCTCACACAACATTTTCACTAAACTTTCACTAAGAAATTACTTGATTTACCTTTCTGAGTCTCAATCTTATCAGTTTTTGTATTGATGAAAGATATTATTATGGAAAGCAAACAAACTTTGTGAACTTCAGACCTCTTGACACTCCTTGAAAGGTTCACCACTTGAAGATAATCTGACATTACATCTTAATCAATGGAAGGATGAGAGTTGTGTATGAACTCACCTAGCTTTTCAATGGCTTCTACACACACACTTGAGTACATGTTATCTGAATATGTGCCCATGATGACTAGAGTGGCAGTCTTGACTAGCACCATACCAACCTTGTCCTGAAACAATAACGTTTGGAAAGAAGATGTAAACTCAATGGGAAAGTGCATGAAATTTCATGACTTCTTCTCACAAACACATGGACAGTACCTCAAGGAGTACAAAAAGTCTCTATTAAAGGCATTGTTTAACAATGTTAAATCTGAGATGTACGGCCCTACATGTTATCAGTGTCTGTGATATGGTGTAATATTGAAGCCCTAACAAACGGCTTCAAAATGATCAAGAAATGTCTTAAAAAAGTAAAAATCTTTGAGTGACCGGTTTTAACATACCGGTACGTACCCATTTTCCCCAATAGACTGTAGTGTTATGAAAACCGTTAGGAAAACACAAAATTTGATTTCGATTTCAAATCATAAATATCTTGATAATCAGACAGGCGATCGGCTTGTAAAAGTCATGGGGTTCCTGACTGACCTAAAGGTTTATGATCATCATTGCAGCATGAGCTAAATCTAGGACTTTATTTCAGAATCCGAGACAAAGTTACCCAATCCCTTTAATACAAATGATCATGAATTTTTTCCTTCAAAAGAACTGTGTGAAGGTCTGTCAGTTGAGCAGAAAAAAGGCAAAGTAGAAGAATTATGATAACCTTATCTGCGAGTTTGGTTTCAAAAGATTACATTAAACTATAAGAAATTTAGGACAAATTACTTAATTGCTAATTTGCCATCTTAATCAAATTGTTTTATCGTTCTGTTTCTTTTTTTCATTTTTTTTTTATACTCATGTGGAGATCATGAAGGGGATCAAAAAACTGAAGACCAAAATATAGCAACATGATTGGTAAGAAAAAAATTACTCCCATGAAATGTCGGACTTACACATTTAGCATAGATGGAGTTCTTGTCTGCTCTGACACACTTGTAGAGTTTATCATGGAAGTAGAGCCCTTCTTGTCTGGTTCTAGGAGGGTCTTTGAAGGCATCTATCAGCTTCTGCATCTCATCACCAGAGAGCTGGGGAATGAAATGGGAAGATAAATTGAGACAATCTTATTCAATCACATTTGTTTATTTCTCTTTACTAAAAAGTTGTTATTAAATAATACAGGTATAAATACAGTATGCTCTCTGCATGCACTTCATTTCAACCCTCTCAATGACAAACTCATAGAGCAGGGGTGTTTCACAAAGATCATAAGTCAAACTTAACTCTAAGTTGGACTTAAAACTTATGGATAGCCATTTGTAGCCTTAAAATATATATATTCAAAATAAAAAATTCAAGGATTTTAGACTTTTCTTCGATTCCACATTTCCACATCAAGAACATGAAATCTTCTTGATAATAGAAAATATGAATAAATTGAATCAACATTTGTTATGCCTTTCAAAATAACTTTTACAAAATATTGTCAAAGATGCTAACGGCTGTCCATAATTGTTAGGTCCAACTTATTAGAGATAAGTTCAACTTAGGATCTTTGTGAAACACCCCCCTGGAGTCCTATCTGATCTCAGAATGGTGGACTCCCAATTTGCACACATAATTGTACTACGCAAATTGTAAAATGCCACAAAACAGAGGATAAAATGGAAAACAGAATTTAAAGAGAGAGAGAGAAATACAAGCACATGCATATTGATGACATACCGTAAATCCAGCTGAGCTTGCTCTGAGTGAGATATCTTTCCTCCTGACGATAGCACAGTTCTCTACATGACCCGTTGCTATCAGAGCATCATGAAGGAGATTCTGAAGCTGATTCATCTTCACACGATCCTGTAGGAGGGAGACAGAGAGAGAGAGACATAGAGAGTAATCAGTATGTGAATTGTAGCTGATGAGATAGCCACCTGTCAGTCACCACACTGGGTGGTCTAATTCCTCCTGGTTAAACTAGTATAGCCGGGCATTAAACAAATGTATAATTGGGAAGAGTATTTTTTTGGGGGAAAGGGGTAGGAATACTTATTATCAAGAGAGGAAAGAGAGAGTGGGAGGGAGAGAGAGAGAGAGAGAGAGAGAGTGAGAGAGAGGGTGAGAACACAACATATATATATATATATATATATCATATAAAGTAGAAAGAGAGGGAGAGAAGAAGCGTTTTATTTCAATTTTAAAACCTTTTAGAACATTTAAATGTTGACAAATTTTAGTGTCGGCCCATCAGTGCCAGAAGGGTGTTCACTCATATGCTCTTACAACAGACATTAAGTTACACCCTGATCTGCTTAGATGTGGTGACACAGGGAGAAGCTCTCATCTCCCTGGGTGACATGCATACAACAACAACACTTGCGGACCAAAATTGTTAATTAAATTGATATGAAATCAGTTGGTCATGAATACATGTAATGTACATACACTGTATACAATTAATATTCCTGTCAATGTAGATGACCATAATTGCAGTTATATTATAGTATAATGACAATATACCGTACATGTAATGATATATACAACCTTTCATTCTTTTAATATCTTACACCCTTTTCTTTTTTTATTCATACACATCACACAAACATACAAATACACAAGTAGAATATAAAGGGCAATACATTCCTATATGAGTTACCAGAATGTTCACATACAACCTCAAATACTCCAACGAGTGTACAGTGTACACAAACCAACCTCACACATACACCAGGGAAAGATAAACATCAAAAGTATGTATATGTACATGTATATACCTGAGCAGGACGATGTGGTACGTCTGGATCTACATGGTTTATCACAAGCTTCACCAATTCTTGAATCTTATCCAACTGCTCATAAGACTTTTTATCCACCATTTTTCAAAATGACAAAAAAAAAGAGCCAAGAGAAATGCAAAATGGCCAAATTCAAGCCATATTCAGCTGAGCTTACATGGAGAGGTATACTCTATAAAGCTAAGCCAGCTTCGGTGCTATAGAATTACAGGGGCGCATTCAATTGTTTGCAGTTGCGTGGAGATAGCTTGGTTCAATAGGTCACTGTGTGGTTTATACAGCAGTGCTCACTGTTCAGAGGATATATCAATGCAGAGTGGATTTCTAAACCTCTCCTCAGTGTAAGAGCACACTCTATTGATGAGGCTTGCAAAGCAACAATAGCACAAAAAAGCTTAGTATTGGCTATGGTTTAAACTAAAAGTGGTATTTACACATCTTCTTAAATTTGCATGGAGAAAATACTTTTTACTCCCTACTTTTTAAAGCTCCCCCCCCCCTCTTTTATTTTTTCAAGCATGATTTTGTTTTGTTTTGTTGTTGTTGTTGTTGTTGTTGTATTTTTTTTTTTTTTTGGGGGGGGGGGGGGGGTCATTTTATGTTTCACATGATTCTTATTCTAAGGCCCATGTACAGTAATTCTATACTCTCTATCCCATTCTTTTCTTCTTGAACTGGCATGCCAAATCTATTGATTTATTTTTATGAAAACCAGAAAAAGTTTTAAAGAATGAAAAGTGAAAGAAAAAAAAAGGGGGGGGGGGGAAATTATGAAAATGGTATCAGTTAAATTATTCACATTGAAAACAAATTATTCTGCCAAAATTCCTAACCTAGGCAAGTGACTCAGAAGAAAGTGGAGATGGTGCACACATTGTGTGCATACACGACCCCTGCTGACTGTTAATATACCTGTGCCATCAGTAAACTGCTTATGACTTTGGTATTAAATGCCCCCTTCTTTTGCTGTAATGTAATCCAGTTTATCAAATACTTAAAATTAAGCATATATTCATCAAATATGTTTTTTTCCACATAAGTGGTATCTTTGCACATTTTAAGACATTACCGGTATATAATATTGAGTTGATTAAAGTAAATGTAAATAAGAAATTGATAGACATAGGAACATAGCTGCTGGAAAACGTCTTATGGACCTGCGCTCTACATCTACAAAGCCAGAATAAAAAAATAAAACAAAATAAAAAAGGTTGTGAATCTTGCAACACTATATATTTCATGTTCATGGAAACTTGATAAATAACCGAAGGAGAAAGGCAAGCAAGCAAACTAAATCTCCCATTTCAATTTTTCCATAATAATCTACTCTTCACTCCAATTTATCAGGTATTACCGTACCACAAACATGGTTTCTCCTTTCAAGTAACATATTCCACTATACAAATTGTGTTATCTCATTTGTCAACATCTGATGCCGTAAAGGGCAATATTGTAAAGTCAAACTACATGTACGTGTACATTGTAGTTGACAGAAAAGAAAATTACTACCGGTATATAGACCTATTCTTAATATTGCACCAACTGAGAAATTCAGAGAAAATATAACAATTTGGAATGTTCGCTATAGATTGTTAGTGTTTTGATTTTGATAGTCACTTTGATTCTGTTTTACAATTGCAGTCATTTGCAAAGTAAACATTTTACAATTTGGCATGTTTTCTAGAGCAAAGAGGACTTAATAGAACTTAGAATACCCAAAATATTCACAGTATAATAACAAAAAGTATAGATCATCATCTACCTCACTTCTTGGGAGATACAATGTACATGTAGTCATTTTAGTTGCAAATTTTATTTGCAATAAATCAAAAGCACAATGGCCTGCTGATCAGAATTCAAAACTGTGCCAGGGAATTACACAATAGAAATAAAGAAAAACAAACAGAAGAAATATAATAAAATGTTTACAAATCATTCTTTAAAACTAAAGATATTACCGGTAATGTAGAATCCAGCCACTTAAGGTCAGGATGTTCAGGTATCACGTCTTCTCCTTTATCACGTTCCATAAACATAGTCCATCAATTATATCAAAACAAAGGTTCTTCAAATAACACTCTTCACTCAGTTCTATCCAACTAATTTAGTTTTTACATGATTGGAATGAAAAATTTCCCAAATCAGGTAGCAAAAGTCATGAAATCATCTCCAAAATAAGCTTCTCTTTCAAAGATGAAGCAATAAGCACATCTATAACACCATGCTGCTAAAACGAGATTGATGAGATCTAGTTTGTGAAGATCAAAAGCAACCAGTGATCCCTTTACCACCTTCTCAATATCCAGTTCTAAATTATATGAAGTCCTCTCTCACGCAAGTGTTTTCTCAACAAAGTTTTCTCTTCAGCATTCAAAACACTATGATTCTCCAATCTATTTACTAAAATCTAGGCCTAGGGAGTCTCACAATAATGGATCAGCAAGCATTCCATTCCTACATTTCTCACTCCATAGGAACAAATGTATTTATCTAGAAATGAGACAACCAGAGGACAAAATTCAATTTATTGTGGACCAAAATGAGCTTTAGATTTGGGGTGAAATGAAAGGCCTCTTTTTAATTTTAGCTGCTCGTGAAAATTAAAGGATGTAAAATCTCTTGTGTCAGAGAAAAAGAATGTGTATTCAGGCAGATCACGAGGGACCCAGTTTGATTAGCAGATGTAGGTAAAAAAATTGTTTGGATATGATGAGATAAATTGGATAATTTCATCTGATATCATTTTTCTATTATTTTTATCTGTACAGTATAAGATATGTATAATGAAGAGAGAGTGAGTGAGTGTGTGTGTGTGTGTGGTGTGTGTGAGAGAGAGAGAGAGAGAGAGAGAGAGAGAGAGACACACACACACACCCACAAAGGATGGATTGTGAGAAAGGTTAAACATGCAAGGGTATATCAGTGGCGGATCCAGGGGGGGGGGTTGGGGGGGTTGCAACCCCCCCCTTGGGCGGCCCAAAAAAAAAAAAAAAAAAAAAAAAGGGAAAAAAAAAGAAAAAAGAAAGAAAAAAAGAAAGAAAAAAGAACGCACGCTGGAGAGAAACCCTTTCAAGTGCAAATATTGTGAGAAGATATTCAACTCATCTGGTAACTTAACCAAACACATGATAACTCTGGATATAACTATGTATTAAACTGTTACTTGATTTAAAAAGACGTTATCATGCACTGCTTTTTATGGTCTCCATTGTGTTAATAGATGCCAGGAAAACATCACTTACGGGGTTCAAATAAACACCCCCAAAAAAATCGGCTCGCCGCTTCGCGGCTCGTGGACGATGCTCCGCATCGTCATTATTTTGGTCAACCCCCCCCTTAGCAAAAAGCTAGATCCGCCCCTGGTATATTGACAATAAAGATTTTTTCTCTGGGCAAAATAGCTAGCCCAAAATAATAGGAATAATAAGTACATTTATACTACAACTAGAATTGTAAGTAATTAAAAAAAATTGTTGATATCATAAATAAAGGCATGGAATTGAATTGAAAATTTAGAACCTTACACTTAATTACTATAATCTTGCAAAATGTGTAAAATATTCTTTTAAACTGACACAAACATGTTGTGACATAACATTCAACCCGAATAAAATGCATGTATGACACGCTCTCATTCAATATACTGTGATATACTGTACAGCACACTCTGTGTAAATACTCAAAAAAATCTCAGAATTTTATCCTCTCTCAGACTCAAAGGCCCGAATTCACAAATTAAGGTTTGAGCTCAGACCAAGGTTTGACCTCAAACCTCCTTTTGTTTCCCCAAACCTCCTTTTGTTATTTACAAACCTGGTTTGTAAATAACAAAGGGCGAAACAAAAGGAGGTTTGAGCTCAAACCTTGCTTTGTGAATTTGGGCCAAAGGGTAAACAAAAAATAATAAAAGTTGAATATTCTTCTACTGGTAGTCATGTGTCCTTAAATCATGAATATGATTAGGGAACAGAAATACATGTATTTCTTGAAATAATTGGTAGAACTTTAAACATTACAATTGCTAAATTGCATGCATACAACAGAGCCGAATGTTATTTACATGTATTCATGTGTAAGAATAGTTGTACAGTACAGTGCAAAAGTTGTGTAGTACGTGTTTGCTTCTTACTAACATGCTAAAAGTCCTTCTTTGTCACTTTCAGTTTACTTATTTAAAGTAAGCAAACTTTATTTCTCTTACTGCTAACATACATGCACATGTATGTACAAAACTTGGCCTCGTCCTGTGTGACATATTATGTAACCTTTCTTCCCCCCCCCCCCCCCGGTTATTATATGATGATCGAGATCTGAAAGGGGGAATGTGTATCCCATCATAAAACTGTAGATCAAAATATGAGAAATAGACCAGTAGCTAAAAGATTGATTGAAAAATATAAATGATGAGGATACATACCGGTACAATATATACTGTAATACACTGTATGGCCAAATAACAAAAATAATAAGTTCCTCTTCACCTACCCCCTCACTTTTTTTAAGGGGCATTGTCCCCCTCCCCCCAAAAAATTTCCAAAAGAAAATGTAAAGCCAATAAAGACTGCAACACACTTCTAGGCTATAGAGGGTCCAAGAGTGCAGCGTTTAGACAAATAAAAATGCAAAAATCCTCTCGCTCGGTCGCTACGCTCTCTCACATAATATCCTTCAAAATGTAAAAGTAAATATTGTAAAAAATCTGTATTCTGTTGGTATCACCATGATACCCACTGGCGTACTGATGGGGGGGGGGGGGGATGTGACTTATTTCTATTTCGATACCAGTGATAATTTACAAAATTGTTGCTGAAATGACAATGATTTTCTGTAAATATTTCCACACTTTTTTGTAAGGGATATTTTTTTTTCATTTTGGTTGTCAATAAAAAAAAAAAAATCAAAAATTTACAGTCAGGCAAAAAATATGCTTATTTAGAAGCCTTTGTGTCAGGGCCCACGGAACGGCAGGTTCGAGCTCCCCCAACTTTTTTTGAATAGAAATAGAAAGAAGGAAGTTTTTGTGACCTGCCAGTGTCACATATAAAGTATCTAAATATGGTCATCTGACCTTAATTAAATGCTTAAAACCCCTGAGCTTGTGGGGCTCTGCCCCCTGGACCCAACCAAAGGCCCTAAGACGGGCCCCTGGATACTCATCTGACTGTTATTTAATGCCTAGAACCCCAAGCAAATACATGTAAGTGTCCTGCCAGTGCAGTGTCACATATAAGGTATCAAAATATGCTTATCTGACCGTAATTAAATGCCCCAAACCC